CCGGCCGGCAGCGCCGGCAGGTTGTTGCCCGTCAGCACCAGTTCGGTCGTGTCGAGCGGGAAGGCGGCCGGCAGCGAGGCCCTGGTCAGCCCTCGGTGGCGGCAGTCCACGAGTGTCCCCGCGCACCTGCACGGCGCAGGGCAGCCCGTGGCCGGACGGCTAGGTGGCGCCACCAGCAGGAGCAGCAAGCTCAGCGCCCTGTGCGGCCCTGGAAGGGAAGCGCTGCCGTGAGCGAGGCGACCCCTGGGCCTCCTGGGCGGGGTCCCCGAGCACCAGGCGAGCCAGGTCTGGCTCCATCTCCTAAGCCCCGTGGCCCGCTTGGCCCGCCCGGTGCCCCTCCCGTCTGACCCAAGTCTCTCCCCTAACCGTAGCCCAAACCACGGGGGCGCTTCCCAGCCTGACTCACCGGAGCCCATGGCGAGAGGATGGTGGCCGGCTTGCTCTGGAGCGGGAGTCGGCCGGAGCCGGAGCCTCGGTCGATAAGGCCGCCCCGCCCCTGCCAGGCTGCCGCGGCGCCGACCACAGTGCTGCCCCCCGACCAGAAATAACCGCCAGGCCGCGTGCACCCGCGCTGCAGCCGCAGATAGGGCTATCTCGGGGCCGCCGACCGCCTGGGCTTCCGCCCTTCCCGCTCCCGGGGCGCACGGAGCACTCGGACACCCGCTGAGACGTTCACCAACATTGTTCTGTCACCAGGACAGGACGGCATTCACGATGGAACAAAACGGAGCGTGGGGTGGAGGGGGAGAGGGGACATGCAGGGGGAGGTCCAGGCCAGGGCTCCGACCCCAGCGCGACTGTGCTGCCAGGAAGAGGCGACCTCGCGCTACCCGCAGGGAGCGGCTGTCTGGACAGAGGGGTTTGCCCGGGGATGGCCACCGACACCCCTGCCCTGGAGCCGGCCGCGGGAAGGGGCTGGCCGGTCACAGCCGTCCCTGCTCCACCATCCAAGCCCATGGCCTCCTTGGGTCAGAAGGGCTTCAGCCGGTACCCCTGCCCACGGGGCTTCGGGTGTGTGGTGAGGATAGGGAAGCCTGGCACCCCTGGCACAAAGTGGGGTCTGGGCACAGGCTGGGGGGGCAGGTACAGGAGGGCTCCTAAGTCCGCCCTGCGGTACTGGGGTGCAGGACCAGGCCCAGGACCTGGGGCTCCGTTCCCTCTTCTGTTAACCCGCCGGCCTGAGCAGAGTCTGAGTGCTGTGACCTTGGGGGGCTGGGGAGGGACGGTATCTCAGTCTCTCCCAATCTAGCTCCGGACTCCAGGAGGCCAGAGGGGCGGGCAGGGCAGGGGCTGTTGTCCAAGGCCCGGGGAAACGGCCGAATGACCTGGGAGGGGCTGGTCCTCAGAATAAATTAGGGTCAGCTGGGGGCTGCGGCCCCGCGTCTCCAGGTTGGGGACAGTCCTGTCAGGGCCACTCTGGGTTTGGGGTTGGGTCTAGGCCAGTCTGACATCCAGGTGAATCCAGGGTGGAGTCCAGGCCAGTCCGGGGTCCAGGGACGGGAGGGGCCAGCCGGCGACGGCCGGTGCCGTGGACGCGGGGCGGACGGGTCACTGGTCCTGCATCTGCTGCTTCATCTTCTGCAGCATCTCCTGCATGCGCCTCAGCTGGGGGCGGCCACTACCTCCTCGTCCTTCATCCTGATGAGTTTCTCCGTCTCCGCATCAGGGGTGGGCAGTGGCAGGATGGGGATGGCGCTCTCCATGCGGCTGTCCTGGGTCAGTTTGCTACGGGGGAAATGGGGGGCTCAGCGTGGTGGGCTGGAGGATCCTTGGCCAGTACCCTCACTGCCAAGGCCCTGGCCACACACCCCTGGGGGCCCAATGTGGGGGACGGGGCGAGGTCCAGGTGTGAGCTGACCGCGGGACCAGCCGCGGTTACGGAGACAAGAGTGGGGCCCAGCGGGCTCAGCTTGGGGGCGAGGCCCGGCCCGGCTGGGGAACAGGGCGGGGCCGGCGGGGCCGGGCTCGGCCCAACGCCGCGTGGAGCGGGGCCGCGCACCTGGTCATCTGCTGGATGCAGTGCGCGCGGTAGTTCTCGTAGTGCACGTCGCACGTCACGTCCTTGAGGTCGTGCATGTGCGTGCGGATAAGCATGTTGCGCAGCTTCACGAAGTCGCAGTGCGCCTGGTTCTCCACTGCGAGGCAGGAGCGGGCGGTGGGTGGAGGCCTTCCCCGGGTAGCCGTCCCACCAGTAAGGTGCCCCATGCCTCAACTCACCTTCTACAATCCCCCAGGGGTACAGTCGCCCCCGAACCCGTTGCCCCTTGGCCTCCACTACCGTGTTGCTGCCGATAACTGCGAAGGGCGCGCTCTCCTGGAGAAGGGGGACCCAAGTTCACAACTGCCCAGTATAAGCCCGGGCTTAGTGGGTGGAGAGGGGCATGGGCGCTGTGCACCAGCGCACCCCTCACCCCTCCAGCATCACCACCACCTCTTCCCAAAGACATCCTGGCCTCCCCCGCCCCCACCTCTACTGTTCAGCTGAAGCCAGAGCCTGCGCGGCTGACACTCACTCCTAGGGCCTTTTCCCGGTGCCCAACCACGCATGCTCCCTCCTGACCCCCTCCCTGAAACTCCAAACCCACCTACCTCAGCTCTGTGCCTACTGGCCCCCAGCTTTGGACTCGGCTATCATTACTTTAGCTACTGGGACACCTAAAGCCAGCACCCTTTGGCGCTCTGAGTGTGGGAGCCAGGGTGTGCCACAGCCCTGTGGCTACGTGGCCGGGACATTCTGCTGGATCCAGGCAAGTGCTCCATACCCCACTAAGTACCCATGTGGGACCCAAAAGATGCAGCACAGGCCAGGTTGGACAAGGTTGACCCTCACTGTCTAGCCCTAGGTGATGGGGGTTCAAGTCCTCTATTCCCAGGACAAAAGACTTGTGCCCCACCAGGACAGACCTGGGCTCTCAGGCTCTTTGGGAATGGGGCAAGGCCCCCTGGCCTCTGCTTGCCACCTCTGGCCCCCTGCCGCCATCAGGCCATGACACGTTTACCTTCAGCTCTCGGTCTTGCTGCTTGAAGTCCTCGTCCTCGTCGGAGTCACACTCGGGGAACTGGTACACGTGGATGCCGAACTTGTCAATCTCCTCCCGGATCTGTAGCAGGGCAAGGGCTGTCAAACTTGGGGGGATCATAGGGGGTTGGCCCCGCCGCCCGGTCTGGGCCCCCTGCCGCACAGCAGGCTCACCCGCTCCTTCAGCTTCCGGATCTCGCTGGGGACGAGACAGTCCGCCTTGGCGATGAGGGGCACGATGTTCACCTTCTCGTGCAACGCCTTCATGAAGCCCACGTCCACAGGCCGCAGCCTGCAGAGAGCAGCCAGGGGCGGGGTGGGCGTGGTCAGAGGAGAGAGTGGGCGTGGTCAGAGGAGCAGGGGGCAGGCCACGCCGTGTGGCCACTGTAGGGGGGGGAGACTCCCAAGCCTGGCCCAGGGCGGCCACGCACCCGTGCCCGAAGGGGGAGATGAAGTAGAGGCAGCAGTGCACCCGGTTGTCCTGGATGTTCTTCCGGTTGAGGCCGCTCTCGTCCCGGAAATACTGCTCGAACTGCTGGTCCACGTAGTCGGTGATGGGCTTCCAGCTAAGCAGGAAGGAGCAGGAGCCCGGCTGTGAGAGGGGCCGGTGGGGTGCACGCCTGCCTGGGGAGGCCGGGGCCGCGGGGCGGGGACCTCACCACTCTGAGTTGTTGACCGCATCCCCGAATCCTGGCGTGTCCACGATGGTGAGCTTCAGCTTGACCCCCTTCTCCTCGATGTCCACCGTGTGCTTCAGAATCTCCACCGTCTGGCTGATCCGTTCTGGGGCGGGCAGGGAAGGCCTTGCTGGGAGGGGGCTCTCCAATCCTAACCCCCCAACCCAGGCAGCCAGGACCCGTGTCATCCTCCATCCTGGTCCTGTGTAGCACTTGCCATGCCTCTCGGGTCCTAATCGGGGGGCCCCATAGTGTAAGAAAAGGGGGAAGGGAGGCTGGACCTGGAAGGGGCCTTTGAGGGGTCCCACGCAGGGGTCAGTGGATCAGGGCCAGGACCATGTGGGGTCACTCACCCTCGGCACTGAGCAGCTTCCGGTCCTTGTACAAGTCGGTCAGGAAGAGGCTGTGGACTAGCGTGGACTTCCCCAGGCCCGACTCACCTGTCCACAGGGACAGTGAAGGAATCGGGTTAGGTGTGAGTCCCCATAACTCTGCCCGGCTGGCCAGTGGCCCAGCCACGCCTCCCGGGAGCCCGGCCCACTCACCGGCCACCATGAGCGTGAAGTCGAAGCCCTTCTTCACTGACTTGCGGTGCACCTGGTTGGGCAGGGTGGCAAAGCCCACGTACTGCTTGTCGATGTCCTGGGGGCGGGGGTGGGACAGCTCAGTGCACACTGGCCTTGCTGGGGGCAGCGCAATGCCTGTCCCCTAGCAGCTCAGGAGACCGCAGACAGCACAGCCCCGGGGAGGGGGGCTTCATTGGTGAAAATGGGGTGAGGATTTTGGGGCAAAGTGCTGGAGGTGGCACTGCCGGGGTCCTCCCTCGTGGGTGGAGGGCACCAGGACAGAGACCCCTCAGATACACACACTCAAGGTCCCAGAGGAGGCTGTGGCCTCAATACTCACCCCTCCCCAGAGTATCAGGGGTGGGAGGCCCGGTCTGGCCCGGATCCAGCCGCAGAGGCGGCAGTGGCTGAGCAG